TTGGGTGAGAGGGCATTAGCTCGCAAAATAAGGTGATTTTAAAATACTTGAGGGCGATTTTTGGTCAACTTGAGGTCAACTTAGAGGGAAAGGCGCCATTGAATTTTTCTTTTCGAAGATTGAAAAATAACAGTCTTGCCGTTTCAGAGTCTTTTAAATATGTTTAAATATTGGATGCAATTTCCCATGCATGTATTAGCATTATGTTTTTTCATCAATTGATTTCTTTTCATTAATTATTGTGGAACAGTAGATTACACTTTTGAATTATATAATAATTGTGTAGTTTTTAAATATGAATAGGTACTGCAAGGTTAATTGTAAATTGAGATCATCAGTCGGCTCAACTGGTGGTACCACTTTGTGTACGCTTAACCACCATGGAGATCCCTTGATCCCGATACCCAATGATGTAAAAGTATTGTATTTATTATATATATATATATATATGGAGGCTTCATGATCAAAACTTCTTGCAAGGCTTTTGGTATTTTGGTCCCTGGAGCGCTGGGCTGCTGGGCCTCAGCTTAGTGTCTGGAATCGTAAATATTTCATGAAGTAAATAGTTTGCGGAACGCTGCTGTAGGCCTACTATCAGTCATGAAAACGAAAATTCTAATTTCACATTTGAATTTGTATATTTAGACAAGTTATTAACTTCAAATTAAAAATTTTAATTAGAAAAAATAAAATTTCCCTCAATTTTCGGACAGTTCCTGTATTTATTTGCATAGGTCTATATATCCTTAAATTGGCTAGTAATAAATTTAAGGATTTTTTTAAAAATGTCTGTAAATCAGTAAAACTACTTTTTTCGATCTATTTTTTAATGGAAGCTAATATTTTTGTTTGATCATTTTAAATAAACTATTCATAATTTTATGAAGATTTTAGAGGTATTTCCCTGTCTTTATGACTGATGACAGTACATCTTTAATAAATAAATATCTAAATTAGTAGGATTCCTTTCCTGATTCCTCTTCATCACTAACTTTGTCTGCAAGCACTCCATTTGAACAATGTCCATAGCAAACCCCACAAGCAGAAACACACATGATATCCCAGTTTTAATGCAGCTACACCTCACAATTTGATATGTCCAGAAATGCTGGACATGGTGTCAAAAACGGGCATCTTACCCAAATGTCTGGTCTGGAAATGACACCGTTTCCAGCATTTCTGGACATCAAATGTGCTCTTTACACATGCAACTACCCTACTAGTGTTATAACAGCATTTGCATTGCAAGTTTCAAGTCAACTGAATCCACAATCCGAAACGCTGGATAACAATGCATATAACATATGGGTGTGGGGATAATCCTATTGGAATTGCTTGTTATCTGAAATTTCATAAGCAAGCAGCCAGTTGCAAAATTGATCCAGATCGATTACCATAACAATTCTTAACATTTTGACATTTGACCTCATTTTTTGAGGTAATGAATTGGTTATGAGGGTCCTTTTATATTATTTTCTTAGTTTTTGTATTATTCTGTGCATTTTGACACTAACATCCACCATATATTGTAGAGTGTTCCCAAGACACATGTCTTAGTGTTTTAGGTTAAGTCAATGACCTTTAACCCCAACAAATTAATTTCCCCAATCTGCTATCACCCTAACTTTGTTTTGGTGTATCCTAGTATGTATTCCTACACAAATAAGTTGAAATCACATTCATTGTAATATTTTAAAATAATATGCTAATTTAGTGACCAAACACTACGGTACCATTTTTGACATTTTGACCTTTGACCTAAATTTTTAAAGTTAAGAATTGATTATGAGAGCTTTCAATATTATTTTCTTTTTTGCTATATATTTCTGTGCATTTTGACACCAAGATCAACCATATACCATATAGTGTTCCGGAGATACACTTTTTAGTATTTTAGATTGGGGTCAATGACCATTGACCCCACATACAAAATTTTCCCCACCCCCTAACCCACCTAACTTTTTTTTGGTGTATCCTTGTATATATCCCTACACAAATCAGTTGAAGTCTGCTTCTTTCTAATTTTTTCACAGATTGGCCCTAATTTTGGTTAATTTTGGGATACTAATTACTGTAATCAGAAGGGCGACATGACTCAACGAGACCAGAAAATCACATCCGAGACATTTAGATATTTTTAAATAATACAGCAGAGTATTTCATATATATACTTAATTTATTTCTTTTTGGCAATTCGGCAATACAGTACAACAATCAAAATAGAATTTAAAGTAATACAAAAAGTCGTAGAAAACATCAAAGTAAAATAAATAAATATATAATATCTCTATTCACCATTTCTTGATGCCAATGATATTTTATCTGTACAACAATTCAAATTTAAGATCTTGTTTGTTATTTAACTGTTTGTTATTTTCTTTTCTTTTTTTTTGTTTTTGGTATGACTAATTGAACTGTATAAACTTTTTGTTCATTTTGTGTTCATTTAAATATGTCATTGATAGGTATATAAATAGGCCCACTTTATCTGCAAACACATTGTAATATCCTAGTATGAACATCAAGTTATGTATCAAATTATTATACAGTACTTGAATAAGTTAATATTAATAATCATTTCTATCATATAGTGTATCTAAAGGCCTTTAATTCATCTGTGTTTCTGTTGTACTTTTGCTTTCAATTTGATTTAATTTCTTTTCATTTTTATTTCTGGATGCACCATCAGGTATTGTCTGATGTGTGCCACTGATGCAAATTAGTGTATCTAATTATTATTGCTTTGTATTGTGTAGATATTTAATTACATTTTTATTATCGTTTAGTTTTATAAATTGCAAATGCTAATTGGAACTGAACATGTTAATTGTACACTTTATTATGGAATAATATCAAGGTGCATTTGTCATCATGCATCGAATATTGGCAATTATTATTATTATTATTATTATTATTATTATTATTATTATTATTATTATTATTATTATTATTATAATTATAATTATAATTATTATTATTATTATTATTATTATTATTATTATTAT